CCCAAAAAAAAATTGATATCTTGTCCTATCGAGAGCCATGCTTAAAATGAGATGTTTTTCGAATGAATTCTACAGGTTTCTCAAACGATATTACATGAGATAAATACTTTGGTTTTGAGAGAATAAATTGATATTGAACAGAAGCCGCTTGCTTCTCTGGTTTTCCTGACATTCCAGCATAGTGAAATGTAAAACAAACAAACACTCATAATTCTATACACCACTGAGGCGTGCCTGATGGATAATAGTTAATACAACTATTTATTATCATATTATACAATTATTAAAAGAGACAATGACTTAAAAATGTTTCTGGAAATGCTCAATAACATACATTCATTACCGTAGTAACATTACAATGCAAACTGAAAGTCATATTCACTCTAGAAACTTTTGACGTTAGTGCGAAAGTAACATGACGTCATTGTTTACCTGTTACAGTATCATTGATATAAATGAAGAAAAAACCTACTTAGTTTTGACGTAGGACCATAAAAATTCAGATTTGGCAACTTCTAACCTTCCTCTATTAATATCCATGAAAAACTTAAAATGTGTAAAAATTGCCATAAGGGCCCTTTTCCCATGGGCGCAATCATATAAGTTCCGGCTATATCAAGTATACTGGTCATCTTAGCATTGCGCGCACGCGCACCTGCATGCATGTTCATAATGACCATGCCATCTTGTCTACACTTATAATATGTCTGTTTATTCTTAGTATCAAAGCTTTTCATCCAAAAATATAAAAGTTACGGCTATATTAAGTATATTAATCATTTAACACATTGCACGCGCGTGCATGTGCATGCATGTGCATGATGTCCACATCATCTTGTCTACACTTGTAATATATCTGTATATTCTTAATATCAAAGCTTTTCATCAAAAAATATAAAAATTACGACTATATTAAATATATTGGTCATTTAACAGATTGCATGCGCGCGCACGTGCATGCATATGCATGCATGTGCATGATGACCATGTCATCCTGTCTACACTTTTAATATATATAAATATTTTGAGAATCAAATCATTTCATCAAAAAATATAAAAGTTACGTCTATGTCAAGTAAATTGGTCATTTTACGATTTGCGCGTGCGCGCACGTGCATACATGTGCATGTTGACCATGTCATCTTGTCTACACTTTTAATATATCCTTGTATTCTGAGTATCAAAGCATTTCATCAAAAAATATAAAAGTTACAGTATATCATGTATATTGGTCATTTTACGCATTGCACGCGCACGCACGTGCGTGCACGTGCGTGCACGTGCGCGCAAAATGACCTTCGTTCCGCAAATCTACATAACATACCTAGTAACCCTAAAAAGGTTTTAACTCAATTGGATGTGCAGTTTCCGAGAACACTCGCGGACAAAAAAGTACCGGAGAAGAAATAAGAATAAAAAAGAATAATAATAATAATAATAATAACTAGAAACTCATTGCGAGCAATGAGAGGTCTTCCGTCCGATTCTGAAAATAAAAACGAAAATTCAAGCTGAAAAAGTGATAAAACAAATTCAGACACTCTGGAGATTTAACCCTGGTGGTCAGCGTGAAAATCCAACGTGCTAACCATGAACCTTTCACTTTTTTGCATCACTTCCTGTCACCACCGGAAGTAACGCGACACACGATTTTCATACGATGCAAATAAACTGATGACGGACTATCAGTCCTGAAAGTTTCAGACTTCAGTCATTTATTGTTGCCGAGCAATTGTGAGAACAAATTCTAATTTTGAGGACAGGAAAACACGCGACCGAAAGTGAATTTTATAAAAAATCTCTAGCGTGTCTCTAGACATTGCAGTATCTACAACATGTATTAAAACATTTCAATCCTTTTCTATAAGCGATATTTATGAGAAAGTTGAATATCGAAATAACGTATTTTATCTCCTAAAACCGGAAGTTAACGTTTTTGTTTCCGGAGGAGTCTAACATATTTCAAAACAGCGAAAGAGATGTAATAAGGTGATGCAAGTTTCAATTTCAACAAGAAAAGTTGAATATTTTGATTTCTTTGATCACTTCCTGTGACGACCGGAAGTGACGGCTGACAGTTTAACCTAAATAATTTTGCCTACTCTTCAAGGTCTACTACTCAAATAAGTTTGTTGTCTTAATCTCTTACCGTTTCTAAGATCTCGCTCAGATATTTTCTCACTTTGAGGACAGAAAAACACGCGACCGGAAGTGAATTTTGCAAAGATATTTGACGTAACTCTAGACATTTGCAATCTATATAACATATGTAAAAATCATTTCAAATACTTTACCTATGAAAGATATTTATGGGAAAGTAAAATACTCAAAATATGTAGTTTTTCTCTTATAACCGGAAGTTGTCGTTTTTGTTTCCGGTGGGACCAACATATTTCGAAACTGCGAAAGAGTTGCAATAATGTGATGCAAGATTTGATTAAAAAAAGAAAAGTTGAAATTTAACGATTTCTTTGAACACTTCCGGTGACGACCGGAAGTACTGACGACGAAAACCAAGGTAATTTCGAACATCTAGAAGTCATGGTCTATCATCTCTAACAAGTCTCCAGTTCATATCTTTAGCCGTTTCTTAGATCCTTCGAGGACAAAATTTCATTTTAAAATCAGGAAATTGTCCATAACTTGGCACTGGAACCGAATTTACCAAAAAACGGAATTTTATTTAAAATTCATATAAAGACCTTTTATCCCTGAAAATTTCAAAGAAATTCATTGAATAGTTTTCGAGAAATCGCGTGCACAAAATTTTGTCTAAAAAAAAAAGAATAATAATAATAAGAAGAAGAAGAAGAAACAATAGAATCACTATAAGGTCTTCCGTGAAGACGGAAGACCTTAATAAGAAACAATAGAATCACTATAAGGTCTTCCGTGGAAACGGAAGACCTTAATAATAAGAAATCGAGTAAAAACAATATGTTCCCAAGCTTCGTTTGGGGAACATAATAATAATAATAATAATAAGAAACAGAGTAAAAACAATATGTTCCCAAACTTCGTTTGGGGAACATAATAACATATATCAACGTAAAGAAGTTAAATGTATTATGTATGCTGTCAAATATGGGCCCTCGGAAAATATGTAAACAAACCTTCAATATCGTGTACATAGCCTTCAGCAAAATTGCAGTATCCTCTTTTGAGTGATTTATTTGGAATTTTTGATTTGGATGACCACGCCGATATCACATCGTCGGTTATCTTTGGTACAGTTGCGAGAGAACGCGTCCATGCTGGTTGACCTTCACCAAACTTCGCCATCTTTCTCGTTGTCAAGAACGCTAGTTTGTCAGGTCAGCCTCGTTTTCGTATTTCGATGGCGGACGCGTGAATAGTCTATTGTCTCGCTTCACGGTCATTTGCCGATCTAGGATCGTGTTTATTCAGCACACTCTCTCCCTTTCTCTCTGAGAGAAGGTGCAAGCTTCGTAGTATGAACACAACTTACTACTCAACTTATTAGAAAGTAGGTGTCAATACTGAAATGCAATAAAAATTCAATCATGGCGACCGCAGATTTTGGCTATGACGCAGCTCGTTTAACCATGGCGCACATTTTATCCACAGCAGGCCGCCTTGGTAAAACCCCTTGTGGAGAACCCTGTATTCTGTCTTCATTTTCAAACAAGTAAAGTTAATGCAAAGCATCAAATCGGCTGCATAAAATTAAGCATTTTCAGAGAGTACTTTCACAAGTAAGCGTCCAAGGAAAGTGCAAGATATTGCAACCCCCAACTCCCCCCAAAAAAAAGAAAAAGAAAAAAAAGCACACAAATTGCAATATAAATAGAAATGACACGCGTTTTTATCAAATTAATTCATCGATATGAAATCAGTGATGAATCATAAGAAAGAATTGTTATATTCAGATCCACGTGCTGATGACCCTGGATCTTTGTTACGTGACGATGCCGATGATTTCTGCACGGAGCGGTGATGGACAACAAGATTGATGCAAAGTGAAGACAAAATTATCGTTGTAACATTCGCAGCTGTAGCATATTCAAAACAATTTTTACTAGTTCTACAAACGCTTCAACTCAAGTTACTATAGCTCAGTCGGTAGAGCGCTCGCTCCGTGATCGGAAGGTCGTGTGTTCGAATCACGGCTGCGACTGACCTAAAAACCGAGGCCCTGTGTCACGGTAGGCCTTGTGCAAAAAGAACCCTCACTGCTCAATGGTCCTGAGTGCCGAGTAAAGGTCTAAATTTGAAGCCCTTCGCCGGTATATGATGACGTCTATATATGAGTGAAAAATTCTCGAACAGAACGTTAAACAACATACAATCAATCAATTTATCACTTTTGCCACTGCAATATTCTAACGATTTGTTTTCATATCATACACTTCCATGTTGGGGAGTACCTATTGTACCTCTTTTTCATATAGTCATACATTAATAATTATCTGATGAGAAAATGAAAATAAAATTGTCAAATATAACAACAATAAAAAATTAATACTTACTTAAAGCAAATCTTTTAAATATTTTACTCATGATTTTTATACATGTTATCATAAACGAGTTTTTTTTCACCGAACTAATAAAAAAAAGTCTCATTTCCCCATGTCACCACAAATAGATCGTCCGCTGCTTTATTTTATTTCATCGAATCACCATTCATCTAAATCAAAAAACCGATACCTATAATTATGTACTGCGGTCTTTGTACAATGTTTATTCGATTCAAATCAGAACTGTCGGGGGAATTGCATTTTTGAAAGAATTAAAGAAATTATCCAACTAAAAAAAATTTTTAAAAATGGACTCTTTTATAGAAATTAAACATTTTATTCTGTTTTTAAAACTCATTGCTCAAGTTTTCTCTTAGACTTATTTCTCGTAGTAACGACTTTTGAAACATTCAACATATATTAAATCAATTTTAAATTAGCTTTCGTGACTACAATGTTAGATTTTACTGCAATTTTTTCTCTCATAAATTAATTTTGCAGTGCTTTGAATCACAACCTTTTCTGATCACCACCACCTTCCTCTCTGCCTCAATCAATTATTTCTGTAAAGGAGAAGAAATTATCCATAAGATTACTAAATGTGATTAACAACTGTACATTTCATCCTAATGTATTTTTTCTTCCTGACGTTTATTATAAAAATTCAAAAGACTAAGGAAATGAAAATTCAGTTAGATAATTCATTACACCCCAACACATGTTAAACCAAAACCATGTTTGGGGAGGGATTATTTCTGTAAGGAAGGATTACTATATGTGATGAACAACTGTACATTTCATTTAAATGTATTTTTTCTTCCTGACGTTTATTATGAAAATTCAAAAGGAAGTGAAAATTCAGCTAGATATTAATCCATTATACCCCGACACATGTAAAATCAAAACCATGTTTGAGGAGGGATTATTTCTGTAAGGAAGAAATTATCCATAAGATTACTATATGTGACAAAAAATGTATTTTTTTCTTCCTGACTTTTATAATGAAAATTCAAAGGGAGATGAAAATTCAGCTAGATAATCCATTATACCCCGACACATGTAAAATCAAAACCATGTTTGAGGAGTGATCATTTCGTATTTCGTCTTAGTAATTATCTTCATGTTATACAAACTGTATATTTATTTCTCTCTTTAAAAAACTAAAACTGACCATTATGGACAAATACCCCCGCTGGTTTTTTCAGAGAAGGTGCCAAGTCACAAACACTAGTATTTGATTGATTTAAGAGGTGCTCACAATTTGTTTAAACATTAAGAATGAAAATTTACCGGTAATTGCTCGTTATATTCTTAATGAATAAAACTAAGTCGCAGCCTAATAAAACATCAATACTAATAATAACATTGTTTTGTTTTGGGGGGGTTTTTCCATTGAAAAAAATAATAACAATTTTTCAGGTATTTCTCTATTGGAAAGTATGGATGCATTATCTATCCATTTTTTCTATAGTGACTGTAGGTCAAGATCACGACACACCCTCAGGTCATAAGCAGTCTTTGTGTGAAGTGGAAAATCCCAACATTATTCTCCATAAGAAAGACATGGACTAAACACGTATTATGAGCTTTTTCTGTCAGTGAACTTGAACTTGCCCAGGTCATAAGCAATCTTTGTGTAAAATGATAACTCGCCAAGTTTACCCATACGAAAGATATGGACTGGACACTAATTATGAACTTTTTCTTTCACTGACCTTGAACTTGCCCAAATGACATTGAGTAAAGGTCATGACACACCCTCAGGCCATGAACAATCTTTGTGTGAAGTAGTAGATTCTAATGTTTCTCCGTAAGAAAGATATGGACCGGACACGTTTGCACAGACATCTAGACGGACAAGGTGGTTCCTACATCTATATACCCCCCAAACATTGTTTGACGGGGATATATATATATATATATATATATATATATATATATATATATATATATATATATATATAATCATACCGTTTCTTAAAATTTCCGTCACATTATGTGTTTTCTGACATTCCATCTTCATGTTGGAAAAGGAAGCTCTCCATCTTCAACAATTAGTAATTTTTTTTCAAATCTAGTGAATATTTTGCGTACAATAACCAATGTCAAAAATTACATTATATGGTACTCACACATATCCATCGACTTCCAGTATCATAGATCCATGCATATTTCTACCATATGCTTTTTCCATTTTTTTATTTATATCTTCGGGGAAATCAACCCATCTTCCATTCTTTTTGTATGCCCAGATAATATCAAAACCACAATCTTAACGCAATTAGAAAGTCTTATTTACTTGTATATATACATGTAGTAAATTCCTTCATTCGTTAGAACTTCTTATACTAGTAATGCAAAATGTAACACTGTATATATAGTGATAAAAGAATACAGGCTCAACCTGAAAATGGGATTTGATCTTTTTCTTTCATTTGTTCTTTGGTTCCATGAACCTGATATTCTTCCTCCTTTCTACTATTTGCAGGTTTAGAATCCGACGTACTGGGTGAAAATGTTTCTTTAATGGACATAGCTTCCGCTCCTCCAAGTGAACCTTCGATTGCCTGAACGTTAGTCGTTAATTTACCAACACTTCCGTATACCTTTAAGGGATCACTACAAGTAAGTAAAGAACATATGTTATATACATTTTTCACTGTAATGTATTCGCAGCTTTCGCCAAACAATGTTAATAAATTTTCTTGGTACTTCCCCAAAAACCTGTAAATTGCTGACCAAATTAGTAATTCCGAAGAATGAGGTAAGGACCATTTATCGTTAGTTTTGAATTGAGGGAAGACTGATTTTGATATCTCTAAAATTACTTTCAGTGACGCCACTGAACACAGAGTCCAAAATTCACCATATTACCAATAATTATTTTAGCACTATCACTTTTTAAATTGGCTTTTGATCTTTTTACTGATTTCTATCTAAAATCAAAATATTTCTTTAAAAAATAATATTTGAAATAAAAAAAAATATTTTGAATAGAATTAAATATCAAATTCAATATATTCACCATAATTTAATCTCAAATAATCCATCACATCCAAATTTGTATCGACCTTTTTTCATGTTTGGCCATCTGACCTGCAAGTCAAACATTATTGTATATATGACGGTTATCAATTACTTGGAAATCTGTTCAAGATCTGTATAAGCAGTAAATAATAGACAACTATAAATATAATAAAAAAAAACACACTTGTTGAATGATAAAATATCTCACAATAACTATTCCATTTCCGTATACGTAAATCACAACCCCAACACTTCCAATTCCCCCATCTTGGTTTTCATACTTCCAATTATCACCTGCAATTTTTTTTAATTTTCATCTGGATTTCTAATAAAAATTCTTACATGACGATCTAAATATTACTTTTACGTTACTTTACAAAAATGCATTCAAATTAGATAAAAGAAATAAATTATTGAATGGACAACCTCGCTCAACTAAACAGCCGACAGCGATTAGGCTTCCTTTCAACACCCGCGGTTCGTCCACTAACAAGACGTCGTAACCTAGGAGTGGGTGGCATCTATAGCTGTTCCGGTGTCCACAATCCCACAAAACCCAAACAGAGGTATGTTCTGTACGTGGAGTATCAACAGAAAATATTTAAAATATTGCAAAAGACATGTTGAAAATGATGGCAACTACAATTCTAGCCGTTAATTTTTTACATATATACACATGTTTAGTGAAAATATCATTTTTTTCATTTTTTGCTGATCTGCCTTATAATTTGTTCAAGCAAATTGATGAAAAGATAATTTAATTCTGAAAGCACACATGGCAGAGAAGTTTATCCATTACCGTCATGCCCTATTACAGTTCCCGGACCTCCTTGATCCTGATCATTCCACCTCCAGTCGGGGCCTCTTCTAACCCTGGCACCGAGGGGAGGTAGATTACTGTCTTTGTACTCTGTATGAATATTTGACGTAGGTTCGTGGTCACTGAGAAATTTACCCAAATGGGTGATTTCCTCCTGGTTATATGTAAAGGTGAAGATAACAAATAATGATTAATCTCATCCAGTTAAAAAAACAACAGGACAAAACACCTGAAAGCACCAGAGGTGGGATTAGGTGCCTATGAACGGAGGAGTAAGCATCCCCTGACGACCGGTCACAACCACTGTAAGCCCTATGTATTGATCAAGTAGAAGGAGTACTCCGTAGTCACATTTGGCATTAAAGCAATGACTTAATAAGTGGTATGAAACATGTCAGACAAAACACGACCCAACAATAGGTTGTATTTATAAATATAAAGTCATTATAACGACTGTAGAATATGCCAGAAAACTTGACTTTAAACGGGGTTGTTGAAATCCTTGTAACGTCATCTTATTTGTCAGTAGCTTGTCTCGGTTTAATAATTGATAATAATCAGGGCATGCTCTTGCAAATCGAATCAGTGGGGAGACATAAACACCATATGCAGGTGATTTTCGAATATTACATAACATAAACAAGGCAAGTTGACGATGGAAAGCTGAAGTCATCATGCTTGTCATACAATTTAGTTATCAGTTGACCATTATTGTCTGTAGTCAGTATAGCATCCAAGTATGGGACAGATTTAACAGACTCTGTAGCGTCTTTTGTTTCGAGTTCACTGGGATATAACAAGTCGACATATGAATGAAAGTTTCTATCGATAATCGATTAAATGTCGTCTATACACCTAAATGTCGACTTGGTGGCAACAGCGAGAGCAATATTAAATGAATATTCTTTTCCTTCATTCATTTTTCATGATAATTTTTGAAAGCAAAAATAAAAAACAAACAAATGCTTACCCAATCTTCGCTAAAACCCAAATGATTCAAAAGTGGGTTATCCGACAGTCCTAATTTATTCCTCCAGGAAATATCATCTTCCTCAAAATTAACTCCTCTTTCAATCATTTCAACAGCTTGTGTCTATAATTTAGTAGTATACAAAATATGTACTAATACTTATGTTTCTAATCAGATAAATGTATACTGAAATAGGCAATGCTACATGTAAGTATATTAACGTAAAAATTGTAAATATATGATTTAAAATTTTAGTCATACAACTGTAACGGTAACATATTCTATTATTGATTAAAGCAAGTTATACATTTGGAATTCATAATTATATATATTGCATAAATGAACCGAAAATAAATTGTTTTAGTGGGACTCTTAAGTCCTCCCTGATTTTGTACATGTTTTTAGCGCCAATACTTATACAAAATTTGAGTCTATAACGCTTAAATCAACAATTAGCATGAATACAAAAACTATTAAGGTTTATAGAACTAACCATATTCTGTGTCATCCTGACTAGCTTATGGATTTCTGAAGATTTGTACATCTTGCCGTGTGTCTTCTTACACACTTCTATCATCAAGTCCTGGAACATTTCAGATTAAGCTTTAAGAGTCTATGAAAAGCTTTGAACCCACGTTTGTTCATGCATTCATGTATATTTCTTTCGAATACTCATAAAAGTTACAAGCAAAAAGAAAACTTAAAATGTTGCACGTCTATTATTTGATATTTTCAAATAATACATACATGTATATGTAACTCCTTATCATTTGATATTTTGACACCTTTTTCTTGGCATTAGCAAGTAATGCACACATGTATATCATTCTGTAAATTTTGAAAATACTGAAAGGGAAGTAAACTTTACAAGTTGTTAATGGTATCTTATAAATTGTCCACTTTTTCCATTTAGTGATTCAGAAGATATAAAAGATTGCAGCAGATGTTCGTGGTCACTCCTGTTACCAAATGTGGATAATCATGCTTGTCAAACTGGTTTTAAAAAATAGAGAGATTTTTCAAAAATGTTTGCATTTCCAATTGTTTACATGAAAAGATAGTCGCTTTAAGAATTTCAATAAAATTTGGAGAAAACGAACAGTTTTGTTTGTTTAACGTCCCCCTCGAGAATTTTGCAATCATATGGAGACGCCGCCACTTGCCGGTGGAGAGCTGCAAATTTTGACGTATGCTCGGCACTCAGGGCCATTGAGCAGTGAGGGATCTTTTTCGTGCCAGAACCTACTTCGACACGGGACCTCGGTTTATAAAGTCTCATCCGAAGGACCGGTCTTCACGTCCCACAGTGGGATTCAAACCCGTGACGTAAGGATCAACTCCTTACTCCGCGATTCTAGAGCAGACGCTCTTACCACTGCGCCTCCCGGACAAACAGTAAACTAATCAAGTTCTAAAGTTGATTACTTTTCGTTTTTAGAGGTTGTGTTTACTCTGCTCCCGATTTGTATTCTTTCAGTATATATGTGAGTTATTTATTTCGTGGCCACGAATTTTTATTTTGCTCTCACAAACTTTAAGACGTATTCATAAATATGATGTTTCTTTTGAAATAGTTTAGGCAAAATTGCAACTTATTCGAAGCATTTGCAGGACTTTTCAACAGCTTGCTTTCAACCTATTTCTTTTGTAATACATAAACATGTATTAAGATTATTTAAAAACATACCGGAATTGTATTCACCAAAGACACCGAATACACTCGAAATTTACGCTTCTCCAAGTCCGCTGCAGTTTCGTTTATCCACATGTGTGTCTATATAAATGACAAATATCATAGAACTAAAACAAATATTATCAAACATTTCGTGTACAAAGAAAGCATCACAAAAAAATACATTGCTCTCTCCATTACAAGAATGATAATTCAAGAATGGGTTATTTTAATTGTAAATGTCAGTTTTATGCCCATGAAATGTTATACCAATACACTTGATTCTGGGATAAAGTCGTCTTCACCAGAAGCTCTCGTGTCAGGTGTACCTTTACCATCACTGAATAAAATAATCCTGGATCTTATCCTTATATTCTTCATTGACGTATTTCCATCTGAAAATTTAAGCACAAAATTTTACTAGGAGACTTGAAACATGAGTCCCGTACTTAATTTATTCTTTTATAAAATGCAAAATTATATTGAGATCATACCGTGCCCTAGACAGCAAGCCAACGCCATGTAAAGACCAGCTGCCATTGGAGAAGGCCCGGATGGCGTCAACAAATCTGTATTGTAAGGAAGTAATCAATGAAAAGAATGCGCATTTCAGAAGAGTAGAATGTGTACTGACATCATATAAAATGTAGAACCTTTTTCGAAAAGTAATTTTTACCTAGAGTTTTTATTACTCTGTCATAGTCATTTGTCATATGCTGTACAACTCTAGTCTGAGCTCCAAATGTCGCGATCCCAATATTCTCTTCTATACCCAGCACTGCTGCAACACCTGCAATACCTGTGGTATAAAAAATATGGGAGGTCAACATTACCGCTACATTTATATAAGAAATTTCCAGACAGCAGTACGTCAAGCAAATTACCTTCAAAGGTCTACCAATTATGTAAAGACTATGTGTTTTATCCATAAACATTGCTCGGTTTTAACACTTTCTAAAAATATTTATTAAATAAAATAGACTTGAAATAAAAATTGGAAAAAAAAAAAAAACAAAACATTCCGATCAAAGTCTTACTTTCACCTCCCCGTGGTGAGCTGGGGAAACAGGTATTTTGCATGTACATGTACTTTAAATCAATCTGTAGTTCTGTACATGCATAATCCGCAGGCTAACGAAAGAGGCAATGTAGCGGTAACGTATACTTTTAAATGCAGCGGTAATATAACCTTTTTCGTAGCGGTAATGACAATTTTGAAAATGTAGCGGTAATGATACGCACCCAAACATATAACCAAGAATACGTAGTAGAAATTTTAATAAAATGACATGTACGCGGCCAGGAACACGTTAAGTTCCTAGGCAGTACCGTTGTCAGAAACCTTTAAAGTTAAGCACTAAAACTGGTTCGTTGTCATAAACATACAGGTGGGGTTATGATAAAATCCGTCCGGTGTCATGCAAAAGATACAAGAATTTATACATAATGCCTAAATTTTAACGTTTTTGACAAATTCTAAGAATAAATTTGAATTTTGGGAAACAGGTACAACATTCAGTATTCCATACAAAGATTTCTGTATTTGATATCCACAATACATTTTGAGGAGTTTTGGATGGCGATCACATACCCATGTGTGAAGCCATAATCGTGAGCTGGAAAATTATATATTTCTTATATTTAATTCATCGAAATGGTTCTTTTATTTTAAAATATGAAGAGAAACTTCTTTTTCAATGTATTAGGCAAGTGACAGCCTTTTGTAGCTTACATGTTTTAAGAAATCGCAATTTATAAGCAAAAAGTCCGTTGTCAGTACATGTTAAGTTTATCTGGTCCGGTGTCATTTTTCTTACCATGTAAGAAAATCAATAAAATGCAACAGAAATGATCAAATATATGCTTAATTTAAAAGAATACAAAGCATATTACAAATATATTTGAATCTCGGGGTCGTCTTAAAGCAGCTCACACCAACGTGCTAACTATTCTGCGATGTTTTTATTTTCAATTCATTTTCTCTTAGGAACCTGCATCCTAGCTAGTATGCAAACATATACAATTCCTTGTATATCATCAGTATAACAAAATTAAAATGATATGCTTAGGTCACATTTAAGCCGATGGTCGGGCGACCAAATTATATTCGTATCGTCGGCTGAAAAACATGATCGGACGACACCAGTATCGGGCGACGCAGAGTAGTCATATTAATTCTTAGGAACATCGATACCTTTAAAAGTAAAAATATTTATAAGTTGGCCAACCGTCGCCCAATCATCGTTTGCTAGGCCGCAGTTTGATTTTCATCTTCGGCCGACAGTTGTACGAAAACCCAATTCCTAAATGTCGACCGACTTTAAAAATTGTATGCCGATGGTCGGCCGATGATCGAAGGTTGGTAGACGGACTATTCATTGAGTGCTTCAATAAGTGTCATATGATGTATTTATTTTGATTTGAAATGCACATATTGAATAACATAATTATTCAGTTTAAAGCCTTTTGTGTGCATTCACCCATGGTTTGTTGATAGGTGTATATAGATAGAAATGGCCTTAGGTCATTAATTATACCCAGGACTAATTTTGGATGTTTCTTTTAATTTCATTGGTGTTTTACTTTGTATTTTACTTGGGGATTGGTTCATGTTTTTCCCTCCAGAAGGTTCTTGGTTTTCTGGACATTCTTTGTCCAGAGGTTGGTCAGTCATCATGTGTATTTGGTTATCTGACATTTTGACTATGACCTTTTGATAGAGACCGACTTTTCTTCTCCTTCTGGTAAGTTAACAATTTATTACTAAAATTAATATGATTCTAATATTTAAATTAAATGTCCAATCTGCAATTTTGCATATTTAATATATTTCCCAAGCACTTTCCCTGAGTAAATGAGATCAGTGAGAATGATATTTTAAAATATGATGTAAATAGAAAGATCTCATTGTTAACTATTTTTAAGGTAACATATTTTTATGTTATGGTGTGTAATATTGTGTAATTAATTTATAGATCCCTCTGAGACTGTATACATTGTTTATATGCAGCATAATTGCTTGCTGTTACACACCTATTCCCATAGAATGGTATGCATATAATGATTTTATGATTATTCAGTAATATATAATGTTCAAGTACATTATGATGATAATTATTGTAACGTTTTATGACGGGAATTGATTGTTCTTTAATTGTGGAGAAATATATGTATATTCTGTGTATAATGAATTATCTCCCTTGACAATTATTGTATTACTTTTATGCTTATATTTACACTTGTTATTTTGTTAATATTGCAGGGTTTCCTCATTTGATTTCATCATATGATTTCCTCATTTGATTTTCTCATTTACCTGGCAATAAAGTCTTGTCAAAAGAACCCTCAACAGGCTGTTATTCTTCAATAACCCAAAACCTGTTACAAATTGGCGCCCACGTTGGGACAAGACGCCGCCAGGAGGATATGATCTACCTTGGAGAAGATTCCTACACAAACTCCCACCATGTGATCTTCTATGGCCATTAACTGACTACCGGTATATAGATATATAGACTACATGTATTTGAGCTGTTGGATCCACCACGACCAATGTAGTGCTACAGTCGTGACCGTGATCTGCAGGCCTACACGTGTATGTGAGTGAGCTCATAGACAATTGAATGTGTATATATTTGTGTTTATTGTGTCTTTCTGCAATTGTGATTGGTTTAACTGAAGATCAGCTGATCGGTAAGTCATTTTTGTGCTTGATACATAATGCCGGCATAGAGGTGCATAGATGTACATACCTGTAGATTAAAATATTTGTCTGTCAAATTTTTGAACAGCAGTATTAGCTGTAATTTTTTTAGGACTATATTCATTGTTAGTTACCATCGTTACACTCTGTTGAATATGGGGTACCCCGGTTATTTTACACATTAGTTAGAACATTTTATTATTTGATTGTTTATAAAGTGCCATATTATTTGATCTTAGTGTAGGATATATAGCCAAAAGTGAGCGCAGAGTACAAGAGATCACCTGAATTGCACTTTATTTCTGTATTCCTTGGTACCCATATTACTACATAAGTAACATCATGGAGTAGATACTAATCATCTATTGCTTTGACGCATACAGGACAGTAAGACAGACTAGACAGTTTTACAGGTATATAGTTGTCTGTCAAATAAGATTATTTGATTTGAGGATCAGATTCTGGTTGGTTGATTGGGTTGTTATTTTATAGTTGTAAAAAGTTTGTGTTTTAAACCCCCTTGCCCATATTCTTTTCCCTACATATTCTATTTATTTTCAGATTAAATTAGACAGCTTTAGTATACTACATATATCTTATTTTCAGACGTGTTCGGTTTTGTTTTCTTCCGTAAATCCGTCGGGTTCGTTTCTGTTTATAGCTAGCTTTGCGTTCTTCATTTTCGATCGAGCTCGATATTCCGATCTTGCGGATACCGGAAGTTTCGTTTTTGTAAACACGCGATTTTGTTTTTTGTTTCAATTTTTTATCTTTGGCTTTATTTATTTATTATTTACCTCATTTTTGTATTTATTTATTCTAGTAGTTAATAATTTTCTTCATCCCTTAATATATAACCAGCCCAGCAGCGGATTTTCAGGTAAATTGTGAATAAAATACTTTTAAAAAGTTGCAGTAGTTTGGAATCAGCTGTTTGTGTGTTGAAATTCTTCTGTCTAACTTTTATTTCAGCTTATTCGTTTCCCAGCATCCAGTTATCATTGAATTTATTTCAGCATCTATTACAGGGCATCCCAGTACAAAGCAGTAAATTTTAAATGATTATTTTGCTTTTCAGAGAGCTGTAGTTTTGAATATATTTACAGTACATATTACTTTTATTTATTGAATTTGTATATACAATACCAAATTGCAAACCGGAAGTGCAGTATTCCACCGGAAGTGCATATCTACTTTCACTTTGACTTTCACTTCGATTTTTAAATATTAGTTAAACAATCCCTTTTTATTTAAGTTCTTTTTGAACTTACCCTCCTGAATTCGTTTATATTTTTCTCCAGTATTACTTAGTTCAAATTTGGACTACCCTCCTGAAAATTTCTACACTGAATTTATTTTTTTTCCCCTGTGTTTCATTGTGTTTATTGTGTTTAAACTTTGATATCGCCCCTTTATCTACTATATTGCCCACCTGATACTGCCAAAAATTTTTTTTTGCCCTGTGTTTATTTAGTCAGTTTCTGACTACCCTCCTTGTTCTACATACTTGCTGATACATGTGTGATTGAATTATTTTATTTATCCCTGTACATAATTTGTTGAAATCTTTTTACACGCTTGTTTTCATCAATCTATATCAACCATGGAGAAGGAAAAAGCATCATCCGCAGAGTCTCCAAAATCTATAATGTCAGGTGAAGAGATTGATCAGCTGGTGAAAATGATTTCAGTCATGGGAGTTAAACCGAAGTGTGACACACCACAAGATCTACTCAAATGGATGTCAGAAATGGTAGGTAAAAAGGAACATGTTCCTGAAACATTTTCAGTTAAGAAGGAACCCCCCACACCTACATAAAAACAGACGATGGAGTATCCTGTGTCCTTCAAGCAACCTTTGCGTATTTCCACATTTTCTGGAGGCGGAAAAGGAGAAACATCGTACGAGCTCTGGCGATACGAGGTGACATGTCTGTTGAAGGAAGGCCACTCTAAAGAATCCATACTGATGGCTATCAGACGATCATTGAAGGGAGAGCCTGCCAATGTCTTGATGAGTCTAGGAACCATTATTAAGGTTGAGGACATTATCGTGAAGTTTGATAGCATTTATGGAAGTGTGCTGGAAACAGAGG